CCACTCTCTCATTTGCTCTCTTTTTACATTGCTTCACCACTCTCTTAACCTCTCTCTCTTTCTCCATATACTCTTCCCTCCTTGCATCACTTCTACTTTGTAAAAACTTCTCATATACTAACTTTTTCTCCCTTACTACTCTCTTTACATCATCATTCCACCAATCACTCCTCTTCCCTCCCGCACCCACTTTCCTGTAACCACAAACTTCTGCTGAACACTCTAACACTACATTTTTAAACCTACCCCATACCTCTTCGACCCCATTGCCTATGCTCTCATTAGCCCATCTATCCTCCAATAGCTGTTTATATCTTTCCCTAACTGCCTCCTCTTTTAGTTTATAAACCTTCACCTCTCTCTTCCCTGATGCTTCTATTCTCCTTGTATCCCATCTACCTTTTACTCTCAGTGTAGCTACAACTAGAAAGTGATCTGATATATCTGTGGCCCCTCTATAAACATGTACATCCTGAAGTCTACTCAACAGTCTTTTATCTACCAATACATAATCCAACAAACTACTGTCATTTTGCCCTACATCATATCTTGTATACTTATTTATCCTCTTTTTCTTAAAATATGTATTACCTATAACTAAACCCCTTTCTATACAAAGTTCAATCAAAGGGCTCCCATTATCATTTACACCTGGCACCCCAAACTTACCTACCACACCCTCTCTAAAAGTTTCTCCTACTTAAGCATTCAGGTCCCCTACCACAATTTTATATATATATATATATATATATATATATATATATATACACATGTATATACAGTGGTCCCTCAATAATCGTCCGGCCTGAAAGTCGTCCATTTCGGAAATAGCCCTGTTTTTTCATCAAAATATTGGCTCGCAAATGGTTCGGTAACTCGCTAATAGTCCTTCGTCTTGGACGCGTACTCACGCTCTGAGCCGCCTCGGCCTTTCCTTCCCAGCCAGTGTGCCATTGTTTACCAGTGAGTGACGGTCCCCTTACATGCTCCTACGAAATATTTCATAATATTCCATTAATTTTAGTTCTTGCAAGTGCTAAATAAGCTACCATGGCTCCAAATAAAGCTTCTAGTGCCAGCCCTTTGGTAAAGAATGTGAGAAACACATAATTTATTAAAAAGTTTGTAGAAAAATATGAAGATGGTGGTGGTAGAGTGGAAGCAGTTGTGATAGTGGTTGATGAACGTAAGAATATAAGAACATAAGAAAGGAGAATCACTGCAGCAGGCCTGTTGGCCCATGCTCGGCAGGTCCTTTACAATTCATCCCACTAACGAAACATTTTCCCAACCCAGTCCTCAATGCTACCCAAGAAATAAGCTCTGATAACTCTATCCACTCATTTGGGACTTGCAAATGAGTGGATAGAGTTATCAGAGCTTATTTCTTGGGTAGCATTGAGGACTGGGTTGGGAAAATGTTTCGTTAGTGGGATGAATTGTAAAGGACCTGCCGAGCATGGGCCAACAGGCCTGCTGCAGTGATTCTCCTTTCTTATGTTCTTATATTCTTACGTTCATCAACCACTATCACAACTGCTTTCACTCTACCACCACCATCTTCATATTTTTCTACAAACTTTTTAATAAATTATGTGTTTCTCACATTCTTTACCAAAGGGCTGGCACTAGAAGCTTTCTTTGGTGGTAGTGATGGTGGCAGAAGGTAGTAGTGATGGTGGTAACAGTTGTAATAGTGGTAGAAGGTCGTAGTGATAGTGGTAGAGGGTTCCTTCTTTAGTGATTCAGCGATTCTACCAACTCCTCCAATGTTGTTGGAGTTATATAGGGCTACAAAAACCACCGCCGCCTCACCACCATTATGGACGGCTTACACTCAGTGGCCCTTATATACCCAACAACAACACAACACAACACCTCTCGTGACATACGTAATGACTATTTTATTCATTCTAGAGTATATTCCATGTTTCTATGTTATTAATATTGTTTATGTCATATTAGTTGAATTATTTTTTTTTTTTTTTTTATTATCACACTGGCCGATTCCCACCAAGGCAGGGTGGCCCGAAAAAGAAAAACTTTCACCATCATTCACTCCATCACTGTCTTGCCAGAAGGGTGCTTTACACTACAGTTTTTAAACTGCAACATTAACACCCCTCCTTCAGAGTGCAGGCACTGTACTTCCCATCTCCAGGACTCAAGTCCGGCCTGCCGGTTTCCCTGAATCCCTTCATAAATGTTACTTTGCTCACACTCCAACAGCACGTCAAGTATTAAAAACCATTTGTCTCCATTCACTCCTATCAAACACGCTCACGCATGCCTGCTGGAAGTCCAAGCCCCTCGCACACAAAACCTCCTTGTGATAGATAAATAAGCCATAGAGTTGATATTAGTGTCATATTCTCCAACAATAAACTTGCCATCCCTCCCTCACAAACAAATAGCCAGTAAAAACATAACAATGGAAGAACACTGCAGGTCTACTGGCCCATACAAGGCAGGTCCTTATCAAAATGACCTCCACCCAAAGCTACCCAAGAATTTACTCCCATACCCAATGACACAAATCAAACTCAGCTCCTCCAACTCGTATATTTGTCCAATCTCTTCTTGAAGCTACCCAAGGTCCTAGCCTCGATCACCTTACTGGTAAGTGTGATGTTAAATAAGAACTTAAGAAAGTAGGAACACTGGAACAGGCCTGCTGCCCATACTAGGCCGGTCCTTCACAAATCCAACCCACAAACAGAACAAATGCTACCCAAGCAATAAACTCAGGTGCAAGTCCGACTCAAATCCAACCTCTTTCACTCGTGTATTTATCCAACCTAAATTTGAAACTACCCAAGCCATAGCTTTTAGAACATTGGAAAGGAGGAACACTGCAATAGGCCTGTTGGCCCATACTAGGCCGGTCCTTCACAAATCCAACCCACTAACAACAAATGCTACCCAAGCAATAAGCTCAGGTGCAAGTCCGACTCAAATCCAACCCCTCTATCTCGTGTATTTATCCAACCTAAATTTGAAACTACCCAATGTTTTAGCTTCGATCACCCTACTAGGCAGACCGTTCCACTCATCAACTACCCCTATTACCAATGTTCATTTATACATTTTATTAGTGCCCTAGAGTCCTTGTGGAGGGGGATTCCCCTTCCAAATAACCTCTCTTCCCTCTCTCCTCCTTCCTGTCTTCCATTCATCAACAACAGCCTTCAATAAAGGTAACTTTCATGTTGAATGTTCATTCTTTTGTGCATGTAAATCTATCTTTTAGGTAAAAAAATTGTTGATACTTCTGGGTGTCTGGAACGAATTAATTGGATTTACATTATTTCTTATGGGGAAAATTGATTCGAAAATCGTCCATTTCGATAATAGTCCCACTTCCAGGAACGGATTATGGACGATTATTGAGGGACCACTGTATATATATATATATATATATATATATATATATATATAATATTTTTTTTTTTTTTCAACAAGGCGGCCGTCTCCCACCGAGGCAGGGTGACCCAAAAAAGAAAGAAAATCCCCAAAAAGAAAATACTTTCATCATCATTCAACACTTTCACCACACTCGCACATTATCACTGTTTTTGCAGAGGTGCTCAGAATACAACAGTCTAGAAGCATACACATATAAAGATACACAACATATCCCTCCAAACTGCCAATATATATATAATATATAATATTTTTTTTTTTTTGAGGAATTCCACTTTTAGTATCATGAAATTGTAATAAACTTGGTTATTAATAAAGCATCTTCTGTAAGTTCCACCCCGTGTTTCCTGGTAGGGAAGCTGGTGATGGAACAGTCTTGGTTTCAGTGTTAACTTATGCTAGTCAGGCAGTGTTAACCAAGATGCACTGCCTGGACACATCTGGTCTTAGATTTCTTTTTCAAAGGCAAGTAGTTGTTTTAGGAGACCAAAACAGTTGTGCATGCTAGCAAGTTGGACACTACATCCTTGCCACCTTCATACCAGCACGATGGACAAAGTAAAGGGGCTGAAGATTTAAAAAAAAAAAAAAAAAAGTACTTCTAAAAGGTTTATAATTACTATTTGCAGTAGACAGGTACCATCTTGACAGCCATATTTTAGGGAATTTTCATATTTCTGCTCTGCTCTACCTCTAAACCCTTAAATTATTTAATTTTTTTTTTTCATCTTTGAATGCATAAATACTAAGTTAAAAAATTAAATGAATATATGTTGATTATATGCTTTTAAAAAATGAACAAAAAAGACATGAGAGGTTTCCAGACATAATAATTGCTGCATTTCTGGCATGGTCCTACCCTCCTACACATCTTGAATAATTCATTATCCAAAAATCTATCAGCTTCGTAAACTTGTTGCATTATCTTCCATATTAATACAATACACCACACAGTACCAATTTGTTTCATCTGCTACTGGGCAATCCTTGACCTATTTTTTTGGGATTAGGATAAGGCCCCTACAGGTTAAGTACTTCCCCGTAAATATAAAAATAGTACAGAACCCTAAAGAACACTGTACATAATACTAGATCATTGACTGGGCGACAGGGGCATTGACCCCCAAACACCCTCCGGGTATACAACCTACATATGCCATTCAGATAAAATTTGAAAATTTCAGGAAAAGTATTACTAAAAGCTATACTGTAGTACAAATATTGTGGATCAGTGTACTATCACTTCACAAATATAAAAGCTGCAGTAAAGACAAACAATGAGCAGAAGTAAGTCAAGATACAAGTGTTTTACTACTCAAGTTCATCCAGAAAGAGAATTACTGACAATAAAGCATTGCTAGTATTAAGTCCCATCCCATATTACAGAAAATTTGATTTTACAGCATTATACTGGAGAAGTCAGAACATCTGAACACATACTTATTGAGGATGCAAAGAATATGACACTGGGAAACTCGTCCATTAATAATATGGCCTACTGGTACATTTATAGTTTTGAGGGACAGATTCTGCAGTATTATACTGAAAGACCCAGTTTTTATTTTAGAATAACTTACCAGATCCACTAAGGCTAAGTAGATGAAGACTCCGGCAGTGAAGGAGTAAATCCAAGGAGAAGCAGTAGGAATGGAGCCTAAGAGAACTCCCATGACAACTCCACACAAACTAAAGAACCATAGCATTACCATCATCTTGACAGCTCTCATCTGGTCCATACCCATTTCAAACAGCAAGGCAAAATCCCCTGTTGACAGAACATAAATTAGACAATCCCATGGCTCAGTTGGTAGTGCACTCAGCTCACATACTGGGTGTCTGTGGTTTAAACCCTGGTATGGGTGGAAATGTTGGGTATGTTTCCTTACACCTGCTGCCTCTGTCCACCTAGCAGCAAGTATCTGGGTGTAAATTGACTTTTGTGGGTCACATCTCAGGGGATGGGCTAAGCTTTGGAAAGAGTTAAGATTACAGCTCCTAGCCTGTGCAAAATTAATATGCAAGTGCAAATAGGCAAGTACATAGCAAACACCAGAGAGTTTATGCATAGTACCAGGGCAGAGAGTAAGGCATTACATAGCCAACACAAAGGTGTGTTGGCTATGTAATGCAGTCAATGTTCTGCTGCATTTCTGGTGCCGAGTGGAGTCCTCCCTGCAGTGGTAAGAGATAGAGCTCTTCCCAGCTTATCTTGCCAGCTTGTTATCATGATAGCATTAATCCTTTCTTCATTCATTAAGTTGTATACCACATGCCATAAATAAATATTAATAACTGACTATTTTTCAGGTTTGATTCTTCCACACCACATTCTCAGCTACAACGAGGGGAGAATGGAGAGAATATGTAAGGAGCATTGCGTAAGATACAAGGGGGTAATGACGGGGAGGGAGGGAGCAAAGGGAAAAGAGGGGGTACTCATCTGAGTACTGTGCAATAGAGCATATTGTTTTTTATATATTATTGTTAAAAATAAGTTCAGTTCCAAACAACTGAGCTACAAACAATTTCCAAAAATGCATCTTTTTTGTTAGTTGGGATCCACTGTAAGTATAAAAATGGAGATTCAATCATACAAGAGGCCTGGTCACAGACTAGGCCACGGGGGCGCTGACCCCCGGAACCCTCTCCAGGTATACACCTGAATATCATTAAAGTGTTACGGGAGAAATTAAAAAGCCATGATTAAAAATAAAAATTCAAAATTGATATCAATACAAAAAAAAAAAAAAAAAAAAAAAAAAAAAAAAAGCTCACAGAAAGTGAAAGTAATGATGTTGTATTTGATAACTAAAACAATTGAAAATAGTTATATGATGAATACAAACTTGCTCAGGGAAAAGATAGGGCATGTGTACTCTCTTAATTAGAATATTATTTCATATACTAATAACTTTTAATAGAAAATAACAGAAAATGCACAAAGATCTCAAATATTCATAAAGATTCAAAGCAAACATCTAAACTGAAATGCCATGAAACACTTGACTATATATTTCTTGGAGCATGAACAAGAAATTAAGTTTTTCATTAGTTTTTTTTTTTTCAACAAGTCGGCTGTCTCCCATCGAGGCAGAGTGACCCAACATGAAAAAGAATCCCCCAAAATAAAATAATTTCATCATCATTCATATACAATCACTGTTTTTGCAGAGGCGCCCAGATTCAACAGTTTAGAAGCATATATAAAGATATATAACATATCCCTCCAAACTGTCAATATCCCAAACCCCTTCTTTAAAGTGCAGGCATTGTACTTCCCATTTCCAGTACTTAAGTCCATCTATATAAAAATAACCGGTTTCCCTGAATCCCTTCACTAAATATTACCCTGCTCACACTCCACACTCCTCCATGTATAGTATAACACAGTGGTACCTTGACTTACGAGTTTAAATCGTTCTGTGACCCAGCTCGTAACTCAATTTGTTCGTATGTCAGATCAATTTTCCTCACTGAAATGCCATTAATCCGTTCCAGACCTGAAAAACCCACCCCAGTTTTTTTGTTACATGTTTTTAAGTAAGAAAAATGTATTTATAAATAAGAAATGATTTTTGTCTTTTTTTGCCAGGCCCACAAGGGTTTTAAAAAATGGGAATTATATAACCCTTAAAGCCGTGTAAGATGTGTGTCACTCCACTTAGTGGAGTGACATTGTGGAGTACTTTTTGATGATCGGCACTCCCTTTGGTTTTATTTTTCACGTTAACATAAACATGTTGTCTATCTTTTGCTTCTGTCCTCTATCTTTTTTTCTATCTGTCAAATTTGGGCTGTCAGCTCGTTCTGTTTACTTTTGCTTTGTTTCCTTCTCTCACTTTTTCTTTTTCAGAGAGCTGTCATGAACCAACAGGTATTTCACACGATGCAGAATCGTCCATCTGTTTTCCTGAAAACTGAAAATGTGTATTACTTGCCAGTCTGCTTATTATCCCCCTTATATCTACAAGCTGTACAGCCTTGTCTGGATTTTTTGAGTTATCCTAGGTAATTTACATTTTTTTTTTTTTTTTTTTATTATCACCCCGGGCCGATTCCCCCCAAGGGCAGGGGGCCCCGAAAAAGAAAAATTTTCCCATCCACCCCATCAGTCTTGCCAGAAGGGTCTTTAACTACAGTTTTTTAAACTGAACTTAACACCCTCCTTCAATGCGGGCACTGTATTTCCCCATCTCCAGGACTCGAGTCGGCCTCCCGGTTTCCCTGAATCCCTTCATAATGTTACTTTGCTCCACTCCAACAGCACGTAAAGTATTAAAAACCCATTTTCTCCATTCACTCCTTCAAACACGCTCCCATGCCGCGGGAAAGTCCAAGCCCCTGCCCCAAAAACCCCTTTCCCCCCCCCTCCACCCTTCCTGGGCCGCCCCTACCCCCCCTTTCCCTTTCCCAAACTGATACATTTTGAAGTCACTTTTTTCGCTCCCCTCTCTACATGCCAACCACCTCAAAAAACCCCTTTCCCCTCGCCCTTGGAAAACATTTTTGGTAACCCCGCCCCCTCCAAAACTTCCAAACTACGAATTCTCTGATTATATTCACACCACACATTCCCCTCAACATGACATCTCCACTGCCCCACCTTCCCTCGCGCAACATTCTCCCCCACGCTTCCACCCATATAAGAGCTTTGGGGAAAAACTATACCTCATACTTTCCCCCCTTTGCCCCAAGGACAAAGTTCTTTGTTTCCACGACTCCTAAGGCACCACTCCTTTTTTCCCTCATAAAATTCTATGATTCCCTCATCTTTCATGACCCACCGCTGACATCCCTCCCAAATTTGAATACGCCCTCCCCATACTCTCTCCCTCCAATCTGATATTCAATCTTTTCACCTAATCTTTTTTTATCCTCAAAACCCTTTCTCTTTCCTGTATTCACCTTTAAATTTTTTCTTTTTTTTGCACCCCCCTACCAAATTCACCACCAATCTCTGAAATTCCCTTTCAAACTCCCAAGGCCAGTGTCATCACAAAGAGAGCGTGACAACTCCCCTTTGTGTTGATTTTTTATTTTTTAACCCACCCCTTTTAAAAAACCCTCGCATTTACTTTCTCAACCCCATCAAAAATTAAAAACACCACGGTGACATCACAATCCTTGTTAGGCCTACTTTTACGGGGGAAAAAATTTCCCCTTTCCTCATTCCTAATTGACCCTAATTCGTAAAAACTCTTCATGCTTTCGTAACCCCCCTAAACCATCCTTGCAAATCTGCCAATTTCCCCCCTTCAACCCTGTATAACCCTTTTTCCCCAAATCCTAAATGCCACAAAGCCCTTTTTAGCCTTATCTAAAACTGTTCACTTATATGTTTCACTGTAAAACGGCCCACACCCCCCTCCCTTTTCCTAAAGCCTCCTTGTTCTTTCTGTTTCCCCTTTTCTCCGTCTTACCTTAATTCTTTAAATTATAACCTACCATAACTTTACCAGGTCACTCAACAGACTTACCCCCCTTAATTTTTGATCTTTTTTACCCCCCTTTGCCTTTATAAAAAGGGAATATGCATGCTCCTGCCAATCCCAGGTACCTTACCCTTTTCCAACTTTTATTAAATAATTGCACCAACCACTCAAAATATATCCCCCCCTGCTTTTAACTTTTCACTTTACCCCATAAACCCCGGCTGCCTTCCCCCTTTCATTTTACCTACTCCCTCACAATTTTCCCCCACACTCACAACGGGCCTTTTTCCCCATTTCCTCAAGTGTTATTCCTCCTTGCCCTATACACAAAATCACAGTTCCTATCTTCATAAACTTTTTAACAATTCCTCAAAATTTTCCTTCCACTTCCCAAACCCAAATTTCCCATTTAATAACCTCCCTCCTTTTTTTTAACTACAAACCCTTTTGTTCCTGGCTTTCTTAACTTTTTAATCTCCCCCAAAACTTTTTCTTATTTTCAACAAAATTTGTTGTAACATCCACCCACTCCTCATTTGCTCTTTTTTACTTGCTTCCCCCACTCTTTTAACTTCCCTTTTTTTTTCTCCATAACTCTTCCCCCCTTATCACTTCTATTTTGTAAAAACTTCTCATATCTAACTTTTTCCCCCTTATACTCTCTTTACATCTCATTCCCCCCAATCGCCCCTTTTCCCCTCCTGCACCCACTTTCCTGAAACCACAAACTTCTGCGAAACTCTAACACACATTTTTAAACCTACCCCATACCTCTTCGCCCCCCTTCCCATGCTCTCTTAGCCCCTACCCCTCCAAAGTGTTTATATTTACCCTAATGCCCCTCTTTTAGTTTATAAAACTTCACCTCCTCTTCCCATGCTTCTATTCCCTTGTATCCCATCTCCCTTTTACTCTCATAGCTACAACTAAAAGTGACTATATATCTGGGCCCCCTCTAAAACATGTACATCCTGATCTACTAAACATTTTTTATCTACCAATACATAATCCAAAACAAACTACTTCATTTCGCCCTAATCATATCGTGTATACATTTACCCTCTTTTTTTTTAAAATATGTTTTACCTAAAACTAAACCCCTTTTTTTTAAAAAATTAATCAAAGGGCCCCCTTTTAATCATTTACACCTGGCCCCCCAAAAACTTCCCTCCCCACCCCTCTCAAAAAGTTTCTCCTACTTTAGCTTTCAAGTCCCCTACCACAATTACTCTTCATTTGGGTTAAAAAGGGCCCTATACATTCACTTAACATCCCCCAAAAAAATCTCTCTCTCCCGCATTCCTCTCTTCTCCAGGCAAACCCTTTTAGACCC